ACCTCCCCGCCCTGAATCTGCTTTCTCTCTCTCCTCAACCTGTCACCTCCCAGGTATCAGCCCGAGATCTGAGATCTCCACTGCCCCAAGTCCTGCAGGTTTTTTCCCAAAGGCGCAGAGTTCTCATCATGTGCCACCCCCAAGCACCCCAGCCTGTCACCACTTCCTCTTGGCCAGCGGGTCATCCGGGTGGACCAGAAGGTGGTGGAGACCCCAAAGCCAGGGGCCCAGCGCCCGCGGCAGATGTACTCAGAGCTGGGGGCACGTGAGAGCGGAGCGTGGGGCTGGGGGGCATGTGGGTGCAGATGCACGGAGACCCGCTGGGTGGGCAGAGAGGGCCAGGGCAGGACAGTGGGGACAGGAGACAGGCTGCCTCCCCCGAGGCCATCCTTAGTCCCACGGGACTTGGCCACAGGGCAGACCCGCCCCTGGCTGGGGGCCTCCAGGGCAGGTGAGGGACAGCTGGGGATGCAGGTGACCAGGCCTGACCTCCRGCTGACGGGCACTTTTCTCAAGTTCCAGCCACTTGATCCTCACAGCCACCAGCACTGCAGCCGGGTGCCCAGCTGCAGAGGTGGACACGACGCTCTCGGAGGCTGAAGAAGTTGCCCTGGGCCATTTCAGATGTCTCTGACGGGCTGCAAACCCTGCCTTCCTCCAGCTAGATCCTCACTCAGGCTTCCTTGGGAGCCAGGGCAGTGGGAGCCAGGACCTGTTGCCTACCTTCCTGGGGTGGGACCAGGACCCCCATCCACTCTCTGACCCACACCTGAAGAAGACCAGCCATATCTGTAATCCTCAGCTCAGGAGGCTGAGGCAGGAGGATTGCAAGTTCAAGGCCAGCCTCAGTATCTTAGCAAGACCCTGTCTCAAAATAAAAAGTTAAAAAAAAAAAAAAGCGTTGGGGATGTGGCTCGGTGGTCTAGTGCCCCTGGGGGAAGGAGGAGGAGGAGGAGGAGGAGGAGACCAACGAGAAGAGGCAGCCTAGAGGCAGGGACACCAGGGCCTGGAGGCCAACAGGTGGAGGTTTGGTTCCCACGCCTCCGGCTGTGGAGTCCAGGACGCTCAACCTCTGGACCTCGATTGCTTCATCTGAGAAGAGAATGGAACCATCCCAGGGGTCCTAGGAAAGGATGAGGTGAGAACTTTTGTAGGTGGCAAGGGTAAACCAGCCCTGGGATCAGGACTAATCCGTAAGGATGTTCAGGGCATTGGGCAGAAGGTTCTAGAGTCCAGAGTCTTCTAAGATAGTTCTTGTCCCAAAGAAGCTCTCTTCCAGGGGGCAAGGCAGGGCTGTGGAGAGGACAGAATCAGGACCCTTTGGTGTGACAGACCATCTTTTTTGTTTGTTTTTTGGGGGGTACTGGGGATAGAACCCGGGGATGCTCTACCACTGAATGACATCCCCAGCCCTTTTTATTTTTAAAAATATTTTTTTAGCTGTCATGGACCTTTATTTTATTTATTTATATGTGGTGCTGAGACTCAAACCCAGTGCCTCACACATGGGAGGCAAGCGCTCTGCCACTGAGCCCCAGCCTCAGCCCTTATTTTTTAATTTGAGACAGGGTCTTGCTAAGTTGCTGAGGCTGGCCTCGAACTTGCAATCCTCCTGCCACAGCCTCCTAAATTGCAGGGATTACTGGTGTGTGCCACTGAACCCAACTGAAATTCAAATTTAACTGAGTACTTTGTATTTTCATTTGTTAAGTCTGGCAACTGAAATACATACTACACAAGAATAAAACTAGAAGTGAGATTTTACGGTACACATTGCAAGTAGACTGGAAGCCCAGACTGAGTAATGGAGTGGGTACTCTGGCAGGCTCCCTGGAGGAGGTGGCAGTCATAGCTAAGCCTCCTGGCTGGTTAGGCATTTTGTAAGGAGGAAACTCACTGGGGAGGGGGTTTAAAAACCTCCCAGTCATGACTATCCGACCCTCTCCCACCCCGCCAGAGCCAGTGTCCCAGCTGCAGGCTGACTTCACCTGGCAGGACAGAGGGTCAGGCCCTAGGGTGGCGATGTCCCACCCGTCCCCTGCAGCCTGGTTGGAAAGGGCGGGCACCTCCCCAGGCGGCAGACGCTGCTCCACAGGCGGCCTGCCAACTTCTCCTTCCTGGCGTCCCGGATGTTGGGCTGGTTCTAGTGCCAGGCTGTAGGCAGTGCAGGGCTCAGAGCAGCACCTCTGACTCGTGCCCCCAGGTGAGGGAGGCTGGCACTTCTGGGTGGGGCCGGGATCCTGCTAGAGTGCCCAGGAGGAGGGGGTGGGAAGCAGAGCAGGAAGGGCCCAGGAGGCAGCCGTGTAAAGGGGGCCCAGACCTGCCGCCCCTGCTGCCACAGGTGAGCTGCCCCTGGGCCCCACCCTCGAGTCAGCCACAACCTCACCTCCATCGCAGCTGTTGCCTCTGGGTGCTGGCTGGACGAGGGGTTCAAGGCAGGAGGGGAGAGCTGGCGGCCACCCTGTGGACAGCTGGGCCCTGCATCGGAGCCGTGGGCAGTGGGCTGGTAGGGCAGAGCTGCTGCCAAGGCCGGAAAGGCTGTGCCAACAGGCATGACTCCAAGGCAGGCGTGAAGGGCCTGCTGTGTGCTGAGGGTCTGCCGAGCCTCGAGCGTCCCTGACGCCTGACACTGACCGGCACACCCAGCCACCCTGCAAGGGAGGCAGCTGACCTCCGGCTGGGGCACTTTCTTCTGTTCCTCGTGACTCAGATGATGCCTCCCAGGGACCAGGGTGAGCCAGGAGTTTCTGCCCGCCAGGGGCATCCCATGGGTCAGTCTCTCGCAGGTGGTGAAGGAACGGGACTGGGCCTCCTGGGGTCCCCTCTCCAGGACCATCCCTTCATTGACAGTGAAGTGGCGCGGGCGGGCCTTTGTGCGCAGGCCCACGGCAAGCCTTCAGTGGTGGCTGCTCCTCCTCCTGGCCAGGCTGTCCTGTTCAGAGGCCAGATCCTGGGGTAGAGATGGGCTCCACTGACCCCCAGGGGCCCGCCCCCACCCTCTTGGCATTCAGCCCACTTGGTCAGGTGGGTGAGTAAGCTTCCTGCCTCTCCTGGTGCCCAGGGCACTGAAGCAAGCACTTGGCACCATGAAGCTCCCAGAGGCCTCCTGAGGGGTGACTGACAGGTGAGCTCTCCTGACCTGAACCCTCAGCTCCTTTGTCATGAAGGAGGAGTGTCCCCTGCCCTGCCGCCAGCAGGGGACCCCACCACTGGAATGAAGAAGAAGCCCTGGGTGGCTGGGGATGCAGGGACGAAGGACAGACAGCGAGAACACGGACCAAATCACAGGCTGCGGAATCCTACTGATTTGTGGGAACAGAGGCACCTCCTCCTGCCTCCTCCGCATCACAAAGCAAAAGACAAAAGGAAGGAAGGGACGACGGGGTTCATTTGTTTGCTTGCTTGTTTTTGTGGTTCTGGGGATTGAACCCAGGGCCACTCTATACTGAGCTACATCCCCAGGCATTTTCTTTTTTAAAAAATACTTAGATTTTTTTTCATTCTCTATTTGCCGATGGACAGCTTGCCTTTATTTGACTTATCTTTATGTGAGGCTGAGGGTTGAACCCAGCGCCTCACAGGTAAGCTGCGCCCCCGCCCAAGCCCTTTTCATTTTTATTTTGAGGCAGGGCCTTGCTAAATTGCCCCGACTGTCCTTGAACTTGAAATATTCCTGCCTCAATCTCCTGAGTGCCTGGGGTTACGGGCAGAGCCGCCATGCCTGGGGCAAACGATTTACTATCTAAGCAAATGCTTTGCCACGGAGCTACATCCCAGCCTGCTTTTAACTATTCACATGGATCCCACCACAGCATGTTAAACAATAAGATTTACTAAAAACAAAAACACGTGGTCATGATGGTGCATCCTGTCATCCCAGTCCCTCCTGAGGCTCAGGCCCCAGTCTGGGTGACAGAACCTCAGCAACTTGGCATAAGACGCTGTCTCAAAATAAAAAATAAAAAGTGCTGGTATGTAGCTCAGTTGTAAAGTGCCCCTGGGTACAATTCTGGAGGAGGAGGGGGAGGGGCAGGCGGGGGGAGGGAGGGGGAGGAGGAGGGGGAAGAAAGAAAATGAAAGGCTCTAGGGTGTCCGGGCCTTCAGCATCTTAGGGGTCCATGGGAAGGACATCTGTGTGGACCCCTGTGCTCACCTCCCAGCAGGTGGTCACCATCCATCCAAGTGGTCACCCAAATTTGGGGAGGGGGCGGAGGACCACTGGAGACAGGCCAGGTCCTCCCCACCCCTGCCCCCCTCTGCCCTGTGGTGCCCTGTCCCCAGGCTCACCTCTCTCTGGCCTGCTCACTAGGTACAGGAGCCCTCACCATCCTCACCTGCCACTAGCAAAGGGTGTAATTCTTCCCTGGGAGGCAGCACGTGGCGACCCCCGCCCGAGACGCCCCTCGGTTCCCACCCCGCAGTCCCCGCACCCTCGGCTCCCCGTCTCAGAGGCTCTGAACCTCTTTCTGGTGTGGGTCGGAGGGCGCCTGGAAGAGGCCAGAACTGAGTTGACTTCGGCCCCTGCCTGCCTCCCTGGGAGCCTGGGCTGTCTGCACACCTCCTAGGGACCTGGAAGCGCGCGGCCACTCGGCCCAGCCCGGGAAGGGTGAGGAAGAGGGGGTCCCGACCCGAGGAGGAGGCGCGACGGGGAGGGGTCCCGGGCTGTGGCTGCTTTTTGTTTTTTTTCTCGGTCGCGCAGCTGGGCACCGAGCCCGCCCCGCGAGCAACGGCGCGCGCTGTCCCCGCGCGGCGGCGGGGCCCGGGGCGGCGGGGGGGGGCGCTGGGCGGGGCCAGCGGCGTCCGGCGGGCGTCCTGGAGGAGGGCCCGGGAGGCCGGGGGCGGGCCCTCTTCCTCGGCACTGCGTCGCCTCCGACCCCCGGGGACGCACGGTCGCGCAGCACTCCTCGGCCGTCCAGCGCGCCGCCACCTGCCGCCGCCGCTCGCCGGGGCGGCACTTTGTCCTCGGTCCCCGGCGGCGCGGCCACGCCCCTCGGCCGGGCGGGGCGGGGCCCGGCTGGTTCCTGGCGTTCCGCGGCGCGGCGGCGGCGGCGACATGGAGAGCGGGGCCTACGGCGCGGCCAAGGCGGGCGGCTCCTTCGACCTACGGCGCTTCCTGGCGCAGCCGCAGGTGGTGGCGCGCGCCCTGAGCATGGTGAGCGGGAGCGGGCGGGCGTCGCGCGACCCCCGCCCGGGAGCGCGACAGGTGGCGGCGCCCGGCGTCCCGGACCTGCGGCGCGCACGGGGCTGGCGTCCAGGGGCCAGCCGTGCCCTCCAGGTTCCCGCCCGCCGTCCCCTGGGGTCCCGGGCCCGTCGTCCCCTCACCCCCTGCCCCCGTCGCCGCGGCGCGGTGCCGGGGAGGCGCCGCGGGGAGCAGGCCTGTCGCCCTGCTGGCAGTGGGAGGGTCTTGGGGCAGCTCCAGAACAGGTGGCCGCGCGCGCGACTCCCAGCTTGGGAGTTCACGGGAGGGGACTTTCTGGAGCCACATGCGGGCAGGGAGGGGGCTGCCTGGTGCCTGGAAACAGTTTCCTCCCCACCCAGGAGCCGGCCCGAGTCCGCTGCCCTCCCCAAGACCCGGGGACTCAAATGTTCGCCCTCCCCGTGGGCCCGGCAGGGGGTCCTCGCCTATGGAACCCGAAGGTGGGAGGCCCCCGCCTGACTGTGAGGTCTGAGTGGTGCTGCGCTGGGAAGTGCCCAAGGAGCAGATGCTCTGCGGGTCGGGATGGCAGTGCCAGGAGGCCTGTGGGCACTCTGCTCCCAGCAYCCGGAGATCCGCCTCCATCTCCAGCTGGGATAGGGCTGTGACTTCTAGCCGCAGACGCCTATTGAGAGCTCCCTGAGAGGACCTGCAGGGCTGGGCAGGCCAGGGCTGGGCCATAGGGGTCTCAGGGAGCCAGGTGCCCACTGACTGACCCACATTGTCCTGAGGTGGGGTGGGCATGGGCAGGGGCATTGAAGATTGAGAAGGAGATGGGGTGATGTGGGGCTATTCCCACTGGACTGGAGTCCCTCTGGCAGATCCAGCTGGTCCTTCCCCGTGCTGCCCAATTTCTCCAGAGCACAGGCCTGTGGGTCAGACCACCTGGAGCACCTGGTGCAGGCAAGGCACACTTTGGGGCGGGAGACCAGAGGGCCCCGGGAGGGGAGGGACCAGAATGCTGAAAGGCCAAGACCGGAAGTCCTTGTAGGGAGAAGCCCGCCCACTAGGGAGTTRAGTCTGGACCAGGAAAGAGTTAGAGGGGCCAGGGCTACTGCTGGAGGGGGGCTTAGGGAGGTGGGACCCCCAGGCACTCTGGYGTGGCTTTCCAGAGGTTGGGAGCCCAGGCAAGTTGGCCCAGTGGGGGTACAAGATGATGAGGGGAGGGGTTATGACTCTGTGGAAGTTTTGTTTAAGACTCATTCACAGCSGGGTGGGTGGACTGCCCTTCAGCTTCATTTCCGACTGTTTGAGATGACCCTGTAGGCAGGCAGCTGGGCATGGGTGTTCCCCAGTCCAGGAGTCCTGGGGCAGGGCTGGGGGTGCTAGCCTCAGGGGCCAGCTGTAGTGGGAGAGGCCTGTGTCCACACACGCTGCCTGGGTCTCGGTTCTCTGGGTCTCAGAATGGGTCCCCACTGGCTGTGCCCCCAGAGGGGCTCATTGGGGGCCACCCACCGGATGGCCTCTTTCTCCCCTAGGTCTTCGCCTTGATCGTGTTCTCCTGCATCTTCGGCGAGGGCTACAGCAACACCCCCGAGTCCCCGCAGCTGTACTGTGTGTTCAATCACAACGAGGACGCCTGCCGCTACGGCTGTGCCGTCGGTGTGCTGGCCTTCCTGGCCTCCGCCTTCTTCTTCGTGGTTGACATCTATTTTCCCCAGATCAGCAACGCCACTGACCGMAAGTACCTGGTCATTGGCGACCTGCTCTTCTCAGGTATCCGTCTGTAGGAGGGAGAGGCCGTGGTCCTAGGGCTTTAGGATTAAGGGACTTGGGAGAACTGGGCACAGTGGTATCTGCCTGGAATCCCAGCGACTAGGGGATGAGGCAGGGTGGCAAGTTTGAGGCCATAAGCTTCAATTTAGCAAGATCTTATCTCAAAATAAAAGGACTGGAGACAGCTCAGTGGTAGAGCACCCCAGGGTTCAATCCCCAGCACCAGAGAGAGAGACTGGGGAGGGAAAGAGTAGCTCAGGGCACCTAACCCCCCCCCCCCAGCAAGCAGGCTTTGCCTGTGTCCTGTGACCCTTGACCTGCACAGAAGGCTTCCAGACTGTCTGCTGAATCCTGTGGGTGATGGGTACAAGGCAGGACTCAGGCACCAGCCCTCGTCCTCTTAGCCCTGCCCCAGCTCCTGGCTCACAGGCCCTGAAGCTTGGGGAGATTCCTGCCTCGGCCTCCCYCTCCCCAGCTCCCTGGAAAGCCCCTGCCACTCCCTGGAGCTCACCCTCCGTCCTCTCCCTAGCTCTCTGGACCTTCCTGTGGTTTGTTGGTTTCTGCTTCCTGACCAACCAGTGGGCAGCCACCAAGCTGGCGGATGTGTTGGTGGGGGCGGACTCGGCTCGGGCAGCCATTGCCTTCAGCTTCTTCTCCATCTTCTCCTGGGTAGGTAGCTGGGCAGCGGGCGGGTCTGGGTCCTCAGTGAAGACTGAGGGGGATCAGGGCCCCCTGTCCTGCCTAAAACTCAGGTCTCCCTGCAGGGCGCACTGGCTTCCCTGGCCTACCAGCGCTACAAGGCCGGAGTRGACGCCTTCATCCAGAACTATGTGGACCCCACCCCAGACCCCAACACGGCCTACGCCTCCTACCCCAGCGCATCAGTGGATAACTACCAGCAGCCTCCCTTCACTCAGAGTGCGGAGACCACTGAAGGCTACCAGCCGCCGGCCGTGTACTGAGTGGCCGCAGGGAGGGCGCCCGGGGCCTCCCCCTGCCCTGGACTTTTCCTCCGGGCTGCCTCCTAGAGCTGCAGTTCCTCCTCTGGCCCACACCTGCTGCCGCTCTCCGGGCCTTCCCACGCCTGCCTGTGCTGGCAGAGCACACCCAAGTGCCTGTGCCCAAGGGCTTTGCAGCCACGCACCCCACGGGCATTTTTTAGGACAGGGTTTTTAGTTAGATGTTTTCTCATTGCTTTTTTTTTTTTTGCCGATGCTGGGGCTTGAACCCAGGGCCTTGCTCTTGCTAGGCAAGTGCCCGACCACTGAGCTATACCCCAGCCCTCAATGCTTTTAATGACTTGCTAACCCTGCTAGAGTCGCCAGAAGCAGGAAGGTGTGGATGATGGGCCCTGTTGATAAGGGCCCAGCATCCCCCCATCCTGAAGGAGCCCAGCCCAGCCTAGGGCTGTAGTAGCCAGTGATTTGGGTTTTCTGCCAAAGATGGGTTGGGAGTCCTTATGTCTGTGTTTGGTGCTGGCTCAGGCTCCCTGCCTCCTCACTCAGGTCTGCCACTCTGGTCCCTTGCCTGGCCTCAGGCTGGGCCAAGCTCACTGCTGAACCCTCAGGGTCACCACTGTGCCAACCACTGGGCTGGCTCCCTCCCTGACAGCCGTGGGGTGGGGCTGCTGCCACCCAGGCATGACTGGTAGCACTTCCTGCTGGCCCTACCGGGGCAGCAGGGAGGGACTTTGCCTGATAACACCCAGCTTTATGTAAATATCCTGCAACTTTGGTTTTAAGAGTAGGGGGAGGGCAGGGGCACCCCACAATATTCGAATGTACTAAAAAAGCCTTGGGAGAAGATGCCCTTGCCCTGAGGTTGAGTCTGGATTGGAGATGGAATAAATGTTTTTCTTTCAGTTTCTACTGTCCTTGGTTGGATCTCAGCCTGGGGGAGAATCCCAGTGTGGCACCTGCCCTGGGGGCCTGGGCTGGCATTTTGAGTGAGGCCTGGCAGTGACTCCTGCATGCCTAGTGACACACCCCCTCCACACACTGCCTCCCCAGCACCCAAAATAGCACCTGTGCTCAGCTTGTAAACAAGACAGGTTTTTCTGGACTGCCTTGCCAGTGCTGGGGGTTACCTGGGAGCTGCCCCTTTCCTCCCCTAMTCCATGGTGAGGGCTGCCCCAGAAGGGTGATGGACTGGGGCCTCCACTTTCCCACAGATGAGGGCTGAGCCTCCGGACTCTCCTGGGGAGGGAGCAGGGAGCAGGCCTGTCTCTGGCAGGAGACACACGATGCCTAGCTTCCCCTTTTGGGCTGTTAACAGAAGTCAGAAATGGGCCCTGAGAGTTTCAAAATCTCAAGCACAAACCGACAGGGCCCCACTAACAGGGTTTGAGCCACAAGTACTCATGAGCACCCTCACGGGTGGGGCAAAGCAAAGTCCCCTGACACTGGGGACTTGGGTAGAGGTGTGTGGCCCAGACCTAGTAAGAACATTCCAGCTCCAGTGGACCCTGGCCTCCAAAGGAGCCACCCACAGCCTGCTCTCCAGGCAGCTGAGCCACCTTCTTGGCTCCTGAACCGGCAAGTGTCTTGCCTCACAAAGGAAACCTGGCCTCTCAGCCCCAGCACATCACGCTTTYCCAACCTGGGACCCAGGGTCCTGCACCCATTTCTGTGCTGAAACCAGCCAGCCAGCCAGGCAGGCAGGCAGAGCACGAGGACACACTCTGCGGTCAGAGGTAAGCAGGACCGACCGCGGGGGACTCCCCTCCCTGTCATGTGAGAGCTTCTCCACAACCCTGGGGCCCAGGCAGAGATGACTTCAGCCACTGGTGACTTTCTTTGGCTGCGCTGGGTAAGCACCAGGGCCTTGGGCACTCCACCACTGAGCCACACCCAGCCCCCAACTGGTGGGTCTTCATGGTATTTATTTACACTCTGGAGAAAAAATGCGTGGCCCCCTCCCTCCCTCTCTAAGAAACAAGCCCCTGGGGTCTGAGCCCCAGCTGGCCCATGCCACCGTCATTCTGCAAAACATCGGAAGGGCTTTCAGCCCAAAGTGCCGCAGTGGTCAGCAGCGCAGGTGATCCTCAGGAGCAGCCCGGGCTCTGTGGGGTGGGCTGAAGTGTGGTGCAAACTTCCCAAGGAGAACAGAAACCCGCGGTGACGGCACCAAGGAGGAAGCCAGCCCGCAGCACCCATGTCACAACAGCATGCCACTCTGTCCCCAGCTGCAGCAGCCAGATCCCAAACCACCAGACACGCMGGCTCCAGCCCAGGGCAGGCCTTCCCAGCAGCTGGGAGAACTGAGAAAGGGCCCAAGGAGGGAAGCCCAGCGAGGACTGCCGCATGGCCAGCCCCACAGGCAGACCCTCCTGCCCTCCCCAGGCTCCTCAGAAGGCCACTCCACGCGCAGGGGCAGCAGCAGGGCCGGGGGCAGGTCCTGGGCCTCAGTTGGTGGGGCTRCTCTGCAGGACCAGCTGCGGGGCAAAGAGCTTCCGGACAGCGGCGSCCTCCCCTGCCCTCCCCAGTGCCAGGCAGTTCTCCTTGTTGTCCTGCCCTGCAGGCTGCACCGAGGACTTCTTGAAGTAGCAGAGGCGACACACGGAGTGGTACTTGTCTGCTCCTCCGATCACCTCCACCTGGCAGCAGGGACCAGAAAGGGGCGAGAGGAGGGGCTGGGACAGGGAGGGGGCGGTCCCACGCCCCCCCCCCCCCGCAGCAGAGGGCGGGGCTACCTCCTTCTCCAGGCCCAGCCTCTTGGTGTAGGCGGCTTCCCGGAAGCACTCCATGCACACAGCGGTCAGCTTCACCACGCTCTCGGCCAGGGGCACCAGGTTCAGGATGGCACCAAACGCCTGCGACACGCGGACGGGAAGCGCTCAGCCACCTGCCAGGTGCGCGTCGAGGCTCCACCCTTTGACCCGCAGCACTGGGGCCAGGAACCTCGCCCTGACCTTTCTGTCCCCAAGTGCCACACCCCGCGGACCCTCTGCCCACGCAGGGCACCTGCGGCAGCAGAAGCACCACGGCTGGGCAGACCGGCTCTGTGCCCTGTGCCCGCCGAGGCCCTCTCCCCACTCGTCCCACCCGAGACCCGGGCCGGGCCGCACCTTCCTCTGGAAAGTCCCGTCCAGCGCGGCCACGATCACCGTCTTGCCGGCGTTGGCCATGGTCTCACAGAACTCCACGATGTCAGGGAACTGGGGGGACACGGAGAGTGAGCTCGGGCCAGCAGGGCCGCCTCAGCCAGCACTCTCTCCAGGGTCCCCAGGGCAGGGACCAGGTCACCCACACGCCCTCCCAGCTGGGGGTGACGGGCATGCCCACCCACTGCCCAGCCCCCTCCGCAGCAAAGCAGCAGCCGGGTACCAGTACCTGGCCCTGGACTGCTGCACCTGGAAGGGGCACCTCCACATGTCCTTCCCTCATGGCCCTCAGAAGGACCCAGCCCTGCCAACACCTTGCTCTTGGACTCCTGRCCTCCAGAACCATCAGAGAATCAAGCTACTGCGCTGTTTGATCCGGAGGGGCTCCAGGAGTGCAGGCCATGCTTACCGCGGACSTTCAAGGGATGAGCCAGKCGGGCAGCAAGGAGCCCGCCAGGGMCAAGCCTGCCCCCTGGGTTCAGTTTCTGCATCTCTGGGGAACCTGCAGCCAGCCAGCCCTTCCTTATTTTTGATAATTCGGTCCTGAGCCCAGAAGGGCTTAACCACTGAGTCACATCCCCTGCCCTTTTATAATTTTTTATTTTGAGACAGGACCTCACTAAATTGCCTAGGGGCCTCACTAAGTTGTTGAGGCTGGCCTCAAACTTGGGATCCTCCTGCCTCAGCCTCCTGAGTCCCTGGGATCACAGGCGGATGGATCCCACCCAGCTCAGCCCACCATTTCTGAGAATCTTGATGGGGGAGGGATTAAGAGTCTGGAGGTGGGTTTTCATATTCTTCCACACCTGCCAAGAGTTGGGTGCTCACAGAAGGGCACTGGCACAGAAGGGCACTGGCACCCAAGGCTCAGGGCAAGGGCCACAAAGGATAGCAGTGGAGGACATGACAAAGAGAAAAAACCAAAAGTCCCCAAATGGCACAAGACTAAATGAAACGCCAGAGACAAAAACCAGGCAGGTGAACAGGAGAGACTCACGGTGGTCAGGAACCAGCCAGCTGCTGCACCTCCACCACCACYACCAATAGGAAAGCGAAATGGGGGGACCTAAAAAGGCACCTCCCGAGAGAAATAAATACAAATGACCAAGAAGCCCGGGAAGTGCCAGCCACGCTGGCCGTCAGCACTGGGAAGCACCGCCGGGGGCCTGCGCACACACCCAGAGGCCCGGCAGGTCCGCCTGTCCTCTGCTCTCCAGGYCACCCTCCAACTCTTGATTCTTTCCAGGTTTAAGGTCCAGGCCTTGGCCAGCAGCTGGCCTGCAGCCACCTAAGCTGCMGCTCCACCCTGATGGCTCTAGTCACACCTCGCTCCCCAGACAGCCCCAGGCTGGGCCTTCCCCAGGGCTGGGCGCCCGGGCTCCTTAGGCCCTCTCTGGCCATCCCCAGAGGGCATGTCCTGCCTTAACTCTCCATGCCCTGAAGGCCCTGTCCCCTTGCTTCCTCACCGCGGTCACCGTCTGACGAGTGTAAGCTCAGGCAGGGGCTGCGGCTTGTGTCCTCAGCACCCAGTGCTGCTGCCCACAGGACAAGCTTAGGAACCGAGTGACACTGGCGTCTTGGCCCAGCGACACACACAACGGGTCACAGCTTGTGATAGGAACCCACTCTGTAGAAACCCGTGCCCTAAAGATCAGAAGGATCTAGGGCAACATGTTTTCTTCTTTTCTGGGCGGTGAGAGAAAGAGCCCTCAGCAGCCAGAAACTGGCCTGGCACTTAGAGGACCCTGGTGGTGGCCACARTCAGTTGTTTTTTTGGGGACTGGGGATCGAACCCAGGGGCACTCCACTGCTGCGCCACACTTCAACCCTTTTTATTTTATTTTGAGACAGGATCTAGCTAAATTGCCCAGCCTGACCTGGAATTTGTGATCCTCCTGACTCAGCTTTCCAAGCTGCTGGCATCACAGGTGTGACCGCCCACCTAGCTAAACAGTTGATATTAGGAGCCAAAATTAGGCAAGGCCACTCTGCCCAGGATGAAAGAGACAGACAAGACCCCGCCCCAGCCCTGTCTGAGCAGACARAACACTATCTAAGCCAGAAAGCAGTGGACGCCCAGCAACTCACCACACACCACAGCTTGGGATAGGAACCGCTCTGTAAAAACATGAACCCACAAAGATCAGAAGGGGACTGGGGCCAACCTAGCCACACAGTGGTGGCCTCCTTCCACACACCCTCACCTCAGCTTCCCGAGGGCACCTGCTCCAGAGGGACCCCGCGGGACCCCAGGTCCCCACCACAGCAGGCAGGAGAGCCAGGCTGTCAGCCCGAGCGCTGTTCTGGTGGTCTCCGGCTGGAAGACACCCACACAGYAAACGACGGACTCCCATGTATGTGCTTCACTTTTCCTAGATTAAGCCTGTTGTGTGTGTGGCAAATAGAAATAAAACACACAGCGATGAGAAACAGACAGAAACGGTCTCCATATTGCCACGCGGAGCCACGGGCCCTGTGAGCGCAGCACCCTGGCCCTGTGAGCGCAGCACCCTGGCTGGGGCTTCAGCAGACTCACTGCCCTCCACAACCACGGGAAGGTCGCGGGCGGGGGGAGGGCCCTTTTGGTTCTGCTTCACCACAGGAAGCCCCTGGACTTCTGTGGAGAACAAGGGCCCAGCGCTGGGCAGTCTGGACATGTTTTTCTTTTGTTTGTTTATTTCTGTGGCCCTGTGCATGCTAGAGGAGCACTGAGCGGAGCTAGTCTCTGGCCCTGGTGATGGTTTTACACTGGGTGTAAT